TGAGCTGCAGCTTGGACCTGCAGATCGGGCTGCGACACCGCAATGGCCCAAGAGAAATCAAGACCTGGATTCACCAGCCAGGGAGCCCGGAACTCCAGACCCACGTACACTCTGCCTTCGAGAGTGAGCCCCTGGGGGACCTTTAAGTGCCTCCCGGAGAAGTCCTAGAACCTAGCCCTGTCCACTATTGCCCCTAAACATTCTAGGGTCGAAGAAAGGGACAAACTGGAGCTTTGGAGGATTTGGATTCTTAGCGTCAGTGTAGACAGACGCCACTTCCATCCCCAGCGGCTGAACTACTCTGCCAAGCAGATTTTGCTTCTTCCCAGGATTAATGGACGGCGCTGGGGACAGAGCATTCGAAGTGAGAATGCTGTCCATATAATCGATCCCAACTGCCCACAGGGAAGCCGCAGGCCCTCCACGGTTTGTGGGACAGTTCCTAAGGGGTTGCACCAGTGTATGAGGGTGTATCCAAGGCAGCCAAAGGGATAAACCTGACTGAAGGGAAGAGGTAGCGGCAGGACTCCGGCAGGGCTACCTTGCCAAAAGGTTGCCTGAGTTAGGATGGGTGGGTGAGTAGGAGGATCTTGGGCTGGAGGCGGGGTCTTGAGCGGGAGACCGAAGTCCCGCGTGGCGCTGAGCCAATGGGATTCGGGGCCGGCCCAGAAGGCGGGGACACACCCCATGAAGACCCCGCCCGTTCCCTCCCCTTTCTCGGGCACCCGAAGGCGCGGACCCAGTCTGTGTTCTTCAAGCATTTGCTGTGGCATTGTCGCAGCTCCCTCACTTTTCTCCGAACCCTTTCTCCTAACTTATCCTTGGGCTGGGGAGGAAATCCAGAGGCTTTTCCTCTGAAAATCACAGGCTCCTAGATGGGGCCATCTAGGCTTTGTTTGAAAGGAAATTCTGGACGCAGTTCTGGGTCCAGCATCATTCAGGCGCCCGGGAAATCCCTCCTGCCGTCTGACCCCGATTTTGCGATTTTTCCTGCTGCAATGACCGATCGGCTCACCTTGGTCTCCAACCTTAGGGATGGTGGGTTAGAGGACTCCAGAAATAGACGAGCCCTGCGTGAAGGGTTTGAATTCTCCCCTTCTTTTCCCAACCTCCACGCTAGGGATGTAGCCTGAGTCTGGGCCCCTGCTAGGCTTTATCTGAACTCCTCCAGATTATTTAGCCCAGGGCTGGGCTCCAACAAGGCCCAGAAGGACCAGACCCCAAACAGGCCATAAGGGGTAGCTTTGATCAGTTTTCCATCTGGGGTTAGTTCTAGGGCAGCATCGACCCCTAGTATTAACCCTTAGAAGTGCACACCGAAGACGGGAAGAGGACACTTCTCAGCTTCAGAATCCCCACCCACCTTGGAGGTGGGAGTTCCTAACGCCTGGATTTGTCCCCGTCTTTCCCACACTCCACAACAATCCTCAGTGTTCCACTCCGAGCAGTGGACTCACGCCTCGCGCGCCTGCGCAGCCTGGATACCAGCATCTTCTAAGGCTGCAAGGAGCTAAAAATTGCTCCCGCCCACCCACAAACTGGGCTGGACTTGAGGATCGCGGGGTGTGGGGGGTGTTGTAGTGGAGGGAGGTGTGGGAGGAAGACTGAGGAGAGAGGCTGTCTAGGTGCCTGTCCAATTAGGGCAGTAGGAAGAATACTGATGGCTGAGCAGGTGCCTGGAGGTGGCAGGGGGTCCCCACGCCTCAGAAAGGGGCTCCTGAGGTGGTGAGGGGCGAGGCAGCCGTATAAACATGTTTACGGCTGCTGCAGCGCCGGCGGCCCCAAGGGGCGCGAGCCCTGGGGCAACTACTTTGCTCTGCGCCCCTTCTCCCCAAGGCTGGCGGAGCGCCAGGACAATGACTTCGGCCCTACCCCCCACCCCTCTGGCGGTCCAGGAGTCCCTCAGTCTGTCCTCGAGGGGGAGCGCCAGGCTGCACCCCCTCCGGCATCTCCCTGGATCCCCGGGCGGCGCCTGAGGGGCGGGGTCGCCAGCGCGGCGGGACGCGCGGCCAGCGCGTTCCCCTTGGGTAGCGTCCGGAGGCAGTGGGAGGGGGCGCTCGGGCCTGCCCTGGCGCAAGTTCCCCGCCCCCTACCGGGCCCCGCCCCAGGGCGCCGACCCCCTCCCTCCACCCGTGGCCCCGGCCACCAAGTACCTGCAGCCTCCGGCGGCGGATCAGGCCCGAATCATCCATGGCGGCGGCAGCGGCAGCGGCCTCGGCCCCGGGGAGGGAGGAGGGAAGCGGCGGCAGCGGCGGCGGCGGCGGGAGGAGGGAGGAGGGAGGAGGGAAGGAGGGAGAAGCCGCGGGGACCGCGGCGGCGGCGGCGGCTTGGGGGGGGGGGCGGGGGCGGAGCGAATTGGGGCGGGCCCGGCGCCGTTACTGCGTCTGGGCGCCCGAGCCCGGCCACCGCCGTGGCTGCCCGCGCTGGGGGGAGGGGGCAGGCGTGGGGAGGAGCCTCCGGATGCCCCAGAGGGAGCCAAGCTACCAGAGACCCCTAAAAGGAGAAACGGCCCAAGGGAGAGACGTGCTTACAGGGAGACCCCCAATCTAGAAACACCCCAAGGGAGACATTCTAACCGAGATACATTCCCTATGCGGACACCCCCCACCCCCACCCCGCAGCGACCCCCTGCGGAAGACACATTCCCACGGGGAGATAGAAGATAGTCTCCGCGGTGCGGCCCTCTCCCGTCAGGAACTCTCCTTTCACCCTGAGAATCATTCCTGAGACAAATGGTCTCTGAGAGGGATGCTTCCTCTCAAAAGCTCCCCCCACCTAGAGAAAAATCCCCACGGGTGGCTTTTGACGTGGGGAGCCTGGTAAGGGAGGATACCTTCAATGAAAGATCCCCTAAAAGCTATATTCTCTGTGGGAAATTGTCCCTACCCACGAGACCCCCACATACGGAGGAGATGTGTTCTTACAGAGTAACTTTTGCACTGAGAAGACCTGTGCTTACGGAAGATGCCCCTTCAGAAACACATTTTCCGTGCATGTACGGCCTCCTCCCTTAACTTACCCCCTCGGGGAACCCTGCTGCCCCTCTAGAGACTCCCTCCCTCATCGTCAGGATTAAGGAGGCAGGCTGGGCCGGGCTGTATTTATAGGAGCGATTAGCTGGTAGTTAGGAAAGGGGACAGCTGAAGATTTTCACATGCACCCTCCCGCAGAGGTCCTAGAGCTGAAGCCAAGCAGACCATGCTTTCCAGAGTGGAGGGAAAAGTGCCGAAGACCTCCCCGCTCCAGGTTTACGCATTGCGGGGCAGGGTTGGGAGGGGGCTACCTAAGGGTCCCAGCTCAGTTGGCCCCAGGCCCTGGAGGGTGCAGTCAGTGAGCGGAAGCGACCCCTGCCGGCGAACCGGGGCGACGGCGAGGTCTTGGTTCAGTTGTTCTGAGCTTTGCGCCTTTGCCTCAGTTATCTCTGTCCGTTACTCTTCTCTGTCTGTCGGCATATTGGTTTTGTCATCTCGCTGAATCATTTGCTCGCACTTCTCTGTCCAAAGCTCGCACTCCGCTCTGTCGCCCCTGCTCGCGCCGACGGCCGCGGGAACTCTCCGTGGTACTGATCGTGCATGCTCCTGTCCACGGTGCTGAAATCTGAGTGTGGGGTCGGGTCTGAAGTCAGGGGAGACTAAGGGTTGGCAAGAGGTACAGCCCAGTGGCTGGACAGATCTGACCCATGAGCACCCTGAATCACCCAAGATGGACCAGGGGAAGGCTAGGTTATAGTTGCTGAAGCCTCCAGGACATAAACTGGTATCAACAGAGGGTCCCAGAGACAGTGCCTACTGATTCATTCATTTACTCAATGAGTCCTGATCACCTACTGCGTGCAAATCAGTGTTTCGGGATCTGGGAGTAAAACAGTGAAAGATCCAGGCAAAAACTGCACTATCCTGAGAAGGGAGGGAGAGAGACTTGTGGTAATGGTCATTGCTCACAAAATGCATGTGCATACTCTGCAAACACAGGCATGCACACACACACTCTCAAGACATACACACAAACACAAACATACCAACACATGCTCAGCAAACAGACTCACATATACACATTCACACTCTCTGCAAACACTCCACAAACACACTCTGCAAATACACACCAACTCACACTCAGCAAACACAGACTCACACACAAACATATGTACACAGTTGCAAATATACACTCAGCAAACATACAAAGTCCTCTGCAAACACATAAACACAGAATACAAACACACACCCAGCAAATACACACACAAACACGTAAACACACTCTGAAAACACATACTTGGAAAACACAGACATTCACACACTCAGCAAATGCAGATACACACATACAACACATACACTCAGTAAGCAGAAGCACACGACACATAGCCACAAAAGAAGGAAAGCTCACTACACACAAACTCTCATCCAACATATAGATACATTATCCTCACAATACAGCACACAGGCACACATACACACTCATACCCACTGTAGGGCTATATTTCTCATAGGACTCTCCCACTGTAATGTCAACTCTTTGAAGGTTGAGATTTTTATGTCTTTGTCACTACTGCATCCTTGGAACCTCGCACACAATAGGTGCTCAGTAAATAATTGTTGAGTGAATAGATGAATTGAGGGAATGCTTGCAACGGACACACATTCAAAGAAACTGCAGAGGGACACACATGCATATGCATTTCAGATACAGACACACACCCTCTCCACACATGACAGCACCCCACCTGTTCACTCATGATCAGTATGTATGGTCAACAACTTTTATCCACTGATTCATCCACATCCTGCAGGACACCCATACTGATCCTACATCCCCCTACCCCATATTTATTATGACTCTTACTCAACTGTACACACTTGACTTGAGACACATATACAAGTCTCCTAAAATGTACACATACACACACTCCCCACATACAGATACAGAGCTTAAGCTAAAAGCTCAATGTAAAGGCCAACACAAAGATATATATGCACTAGCTTCAGGTCCATCTGCCTTGGTCAGCTGGGATGGAGACAGAACTGTGGGAAATCCCTCTCTGCATCAAATCATGCCCCTTTTGGCTGCCACTGTTTCCTGACTTGACCCTGAGATGTCTTAGCAGCTCCCTAGATCCCAGGGATCTAGGCTAACAGGTGAGAGGTGCCCACAGGGGGCAGAGTGGGAGAGGGAACTGTCATGCCAGCAGAGACCTCCCAGTTTCCCCTGCCCTAGGGCTTTTGGACCCCAGTAACAGAACCCGATCCTGCCACAGCCAAACTTGACTCCAAAGGCCCAGCCCTGTTTGGCAGCCCCTAAGCCGATTATGGGTGGAGAGAAGGTGATCATGAGAGGGGCCAGTGGGAACAAGTCTGGGGGGGAGACTGGGCAGCAGAGAGGGAGGAATTACTGGTCAGAAGAAGGAGATTGGAAGAATTGAGGAGGTCCCTTAGTTCTGAGGACGACGGGGGTTGCCTGAGGGCCAACAGGGTGCGAGATCCTGCTGGGCCTGAGTAAGGAGGGGCACCATGGACAGACTGGGAGAGGACACTTGGGCCTGAGGGATGGAGGGGACGTGAGTCTGATGGGGGAGTTCCTGGGTCAGAGGGAGATTTTGGTGGCCCCTGGGATTTGAAGATAGATGGCTTTTGCCTCCTCATCAATTGCCCATTCTCAGCTCTGCCTGGCTCTGTCTCACAGGTGTGCATCATTATGGTGCCACCCTGAGTTCCTAAAGGGGATGGAGGAACCTCACCCTATACCAGCTGACTCTTATCTCAGGTGGACATGGCCTGCAGGGGCTGCACTCGACCCAGGAGCCTGGCCTGGGCCCTGCGACTGATGTTGGCATGGATCCTGCTGGGGGCCTGTGAAGGGAGTCACCCACTCCCAGCTAGGTCCCGGAGACACCATAGGCTGGCAGCCGATCTGGCCACAGGCCAGCTGCACCTGTCAGGTGAGCACTCCAGACCCTGCCTAATCCCCAACACCAAGGAACCCCCACTCCACCATGGCAATGCCAGAACTTCCTTATGACAGGTGTTTTAGGATGACCAGGGGTCAGGGACAGCCGGACCTGGTGCTGAAGAATGGTGGTTTAAGTGTCAAACTGCCTGGGTTCAAATCCCACTCTACCATTTTGTAGCTGTGTGACCCTGGCAAGTCACTTAAATCTCTCTGGACCTCAAGCGAGCCATTAAAAATGGGGGAAAATAACAGGCCTACCTCACAGGAGTGTTATAAAGGAGAATTATGTAAGCATGTGAGAATCTGTACTACTCCAGAGACATAATAAATGATAAGCCGATTATGATAAAGGATTATTATTACTTGAAACTGCATTTGCATCCCAAGTGAAGTGTCTTTGTTTACATTTTATGTTTGGGAAGATTGATGTAACTGGGGTCTCTCCTATTCATGAGACCTCCGTGTCTTAGTTACCCAACCCTACCTGAGGATCCGAGACCTCAACTCACAGGAGTCCCCTTCTCCATGGCCCTGTTGTCCCTCAGAGATGGACACACCAAAGGCATCAGGCCCTGGGATCACCCCAAAACGCTGTGAGAAGTCGAGTCTCGGGTGAGTACAGCACCCCCAGCCCGTATTTCCTTGTGTTCTTTGCTCCGGTTGCCTCCTCCAGGGGCTAGAATCCCAGCGCATCCTGACCCATCCGGGCCTGTCTTTCCCTCTTTAGGTGCGAATCCTTCCTGGGACACCTCCAAGTTGCCCTCCCTAGTCGTTTCCGCCTGCTGCTATTGGGGATGCCGATCTGCGCTGAGCTGTGCGATTCCTGGTAGGCGAAGAGCGGCGTGTGGGGCGTGGCCGAAGGAGGGATCTTCAGCTTGCTCCTCCACCTAGCGTTTGAAAGGGCTTGGGCCTGGCTGCAACCCCGGCCAAGGGTTCAGGATGAGACCCAGGATTTAGACTCTTGGCAGAAAGGGGTGGGGCCTGCTCAGGCGTCGGCTTTTAAGATTGGCAGTAAGGAGGCGTGGCCTTCCACGGACAGAATTTTTTTTTAAAGGGGCGGGCCTGTTGATTGAACAGAGAAGCCACAAGGGTGGAGAATGAAAGAGGCTGGCCTGGAATAGTTGGTCTGAGGTCTGCAGGGATGAGGCCCATTGTAACAGGGCCCTGGGTTATTTGTGGAGAATACGGGTTGGGTGAAATCCAGGGGATGGTGTGTGTAGGGGTGTGGCCCTAAGAGGCGGGGTCTGGAGGTAAGGGAGCGACTAACACACGCGGAAGCCTCAGAGCGCAGGAATCCCACGAGAACGCTACTTCGGAGCCTTTTCCCACCTTCTTCTCTCCACACATCATCCCCAGGTTTGCCGCCTGTCAGAGTGATATCACCTGCGGCCCATCTTGGACCCCACTCCTAAAAAAGACGGCCTGCAAACCTGGCTGCAATACCTATGGGCAGGTGAGCTTGGGACAGAGGGCAAGGGGAAGAGACTGAGACCTTCCCTTACTGCGTCCTGTCTTAATCCGCCTAAGCCCCAGATCTGGACTGGTACTCCCAACGTTCCCGGCTCCCCCTCTTCTTCCCGCAGCCCGGTCTCCACAGTGGGTTACGCCCGTAGCCTTCCCTAGGACACAGAGTCTGGATTTCCCCTTCCCAAGGGACCGTCTCTGCTCTAGGCCCAGCCAGTTTCCCCTGGAAGACCCAGAGGCTCAAGTTACCTTCCCCAAGGTCCCGGACTTAATCTGTCCCTCCCCTACCCCAGCCCCCCTGGGACCCAGTAAGAACGACTCGCCCTGCCCAAGGCCCCGCTCCCGCTACAAGCCCGCCCCCAGTCTCCCTGGAAAAACCAGAGGCAGAAATTGCCAGCCCCAAGACCGCGCGTCCCAGACCTGGTCCCAACCAGTCAGGGAACTCCCGGCCTTTTCAAGTCCACGCCCCTGAAGACGCCCCCAAGGGATCTGGGCTCCGCCCACAGGACCCTAACCCCACCTCGTCTCCCAGATCTTTGCTAACGGGGCGGACCTTTGCCGCTCGGTTCTGGGCTACGCGCTGCCGGTGGCAGCTCCTGGCTCCGGTTACTGCCTCAACATTTCCATCTCGGTACTGCCGGATCCCAAACACGGACGGAAAGCACGGGAAACAACCTCCCCGCGCTCCCACCGCCTTCGCACCTGGCTCCTAGATGCGACGGGCAGCGGGAGTGGCAGCGGGAGCGGCAGCGGCCCCTAGAGGGCGCCTGGCCTCGAAGGAGAGAGACATCCTTCCCGCAACCGGGCCCCTCGACCCGGATCCCCACCCCTCTCCCTCTCTGCCTTCTAGTTTCCAGAGTCCTGGTCCTCCTCCGTGGGGCGCCAGAGATTTGCCCCTCGCCATATTAGAGAAATGACTCTAGCTCCTTTCCCCTTTCTCCCCCTGAATAAAGTCACCAACGAGAGCACATGATGCGGCTGCTTCTTGGGGAAATAGGTGAGGATAGCTGTCAGAAAGCGATGTGTCTCGCTTCTAATCTTCAAGTCCTAGAGCTAGAGTCTGATTCACACTAGCATGTATATGACGGATGACCCTGGAGCAAAGAAGAAACTTGCCGTAACGTGGAATACCCAGGTGTCAGAAATAGGAAGAGGTCCAGAGAAAGGACAAGAGCAGGAGGCCTGCCCTCCAAAAAGCACCCTGACTTGTACAGACCTCAGGACACCTTTTTTGGCCTTCCCTCTGAATAGGCAGCCCAGCGGTGTCAGGCATAAATGCTCCCTTTCCTTCTTCCTCCCCTTCTTGCAAATCCTAGTCTAGACTAAAGGCTGAAAACTGGATCTAGATTCCGGATTTGGGTTGTAAACTCTACTTTACATCCTCCTCCTTGTCTACAAACCCTAGAACGTCCTCACTTTCCTCACTGGTAAAAGAGGGGCCTCATGCACACATACTGTGGTGGGTGCTGCCTCTGGCCTTGAACCTCAGCTGGGGCTGTTGGCCAGAATAGCTACACGTGGCCTCTCTCTGTGGGTTGGACTCCCTCACAGCATGGCGGATGGATTCCAAGGGCAAGTGTCCCCAGAGAGTTAGCCAGGTGAAAGTTGTCTCATATTTAGCAATCTAGCCTTGGAAGTCACAGTGTCACCTCTGCTTTCTATTCACTAAAGTAAATCACTAAAGCCAGCTTACATTCAAGGGGGAGGCATCCCAGACTCCACCTTCTAGGGGGAGGGATGTCAAATAAAATGCTTAGAAAGTTTCCGGTGCATAATTAATACTCAATAAATGTGAACATCATCCATTAAATTGTTGATGGTATTGTATGCTGTGTCATGATGAGGACAAACAGGCATTTAAGGGAAAAAAAGTGAGGTAAAGCCTTTGAAGCACCTCCAGGCAGGTGACCAAGTCACAGGGAAGGGCATTTCAAGCAGGATGCCTGGATATTTCCAGCTGTTCAGAGAGCCTGGAGCACAGCATGGGAAAGGGACAGACCACAGGAGGCCTTAAACGCCAACTGGAGGCACTTGGACCTGATGATAAAGGGTGTGAGAGCCATGGAAGGTTTATACAGAGGAAGATCCATCAGATTGCCATCATGCCTGCCACTTGTAAGCAGGACAGCGGTAGGGATACCACTGAGGACCTTGGGCCAGGAACTGGAAGATGGGGATGAGGGAGATACATGAGAGGGGGTAACACACGCTGCCCTGAGGAGAGCAGGCGTGATCATTTGCAACCTTCAAGTAGGGATTGTTGTCAGGTTCATTTTGAAGGAGGCTCTGGAGAGCTTCAGCAGGTCTGGCATGGGGGCCAGGATTTCACATTTCTGGGTTCCAGGTGAGCTTGGTGCCGCTGATCTGGGGACCCCATTTGAACATCCAGGGATTCAAAAACATGTTAGAAAAACAACAGACTCTGGAGGCGAGACAAAAATTTTCTTACAAGTTAGCATTTTTGAGTTACAGCTTTGGGGTGCCGGCTAGTTTCTGCTTGTCACCAGCTGTGAGGGAAGGGAGAAAGAGGGACAGCTTCTCCTCATCTTGCTCAGGCGATTCCATCCATCCAGAAGGGCCTATAATTTCAGGATAAACTATAATTCTATTAATTCTTTGAGAGGAAAAGCAAATCTGAGAAACTCCCAAATTAACAGCATAGAAGAGGATGGGACAGAATGGTAAATGGAATCAAATTTGGTAATGTTTTGCAACTATGATAGCCACAGGCTGAGGCTTGAAAAAAAGAGTTGCCTTTAGTGTGGGGGAGATGTGGAGGCCAGAGCTTCTCCCCCAGGCTCACCGTCACTACCTCTGCTCTCGGGGCCTTCCTGAAGCCAGGTCCTCTTACCTCTGGGTCTCTGCCTTTGCTGTTCCCAATTCCTGGAACCCCTTCATGCTCCTGCTGTCTGCTCCACCCGCCTCATGCTTCAGCTCTCAGCCAGAAAGCTCCTCAGGCTCTGCGAGCCTCAGACCAGAGCTGGCCTCCCCATCATGTACTCCCAGGGCCCCCTGGACCTCATCAGGCACTTAGTGGGAGGTTTGGAGCCCCTATTGGCTGCAGAAAGGGGAATTTGGAAATTTCTCTCCAAATTACAAACCGTATAGATCCCCTGACCTTCCAAACCCACCTCTGGGAATTTATCCTACAGGGAAAACTGCATGAGAAATAATGGCACTCCCAGCTTATTCCCTGCTGTACACAAAATATCTAGATGTGACAATCCAGTATCTACTAAGAGGTGGTAAATGAACTACAGGAGAGTCATGCCTGGAAGACTGAGCTGTAAAAGGAATAAAAGAGGCCTTTACACAACCATTTGGAATTACCTCCAAGATGTATGTGGTGAATAGAGCAATGTGCACTATCTAGGGGATAGTTTGTTTCCATTTGTCTTAAAAAAAAACACAACAAAACAACACTTGAGGAAGGAATGTATCTGTGCTTTTCTTTTTAAGTATACTAGTAATGTGCCAGGCTAACACCAGAAGGACGTAGAAGGACATGCTAAGGTCTGAATATCTGTGCTCCCCTCCAATTGGTATGTTGACAGTATAACTCCCAGTGATGGTATTAGGAGGTAGAGCCTTTTCAGCTGACTGGGTCATGAGCATGGAAACCTCAGGAATGAATGTGATTAGCGCCCTTATAAAAGGGACCCCCAGCGGTCCCTCACCCTTTCTGCTATGTGAAGACACAGCAAGAAGTCGAAGTCTACAGCCTGAAACAGGGTCCTGCCCAGAACGAGGCCATGCTGGCACTCTCATCTTGGACTTCTGGCCTCCAAAACTATAAGTATCAGTTGTTTATAAGCCACCTGGTCTGTGATAGTTTGTAATTGCAGCCCCAAAAGGACTGAGACACCCTAGTATGCCCACCAGTGAGCTGAGGGCAGGGTGCGAAGGCTTCTTGATGTTCCCTCCTAATTCCGCATCATACAAATATAGTACACACTTGGGACATGAAATAAAACCAACCAAACCAACCAGTGCCCACCATCCTGTTCAGTCTCCGTGTCAGAGCACACACCCTCACCCTGCCTCTGCACCAAAGTCAAAGTACCACCCCACGCTTAGTTTTTCCTTAGAACACTTTTAATCACCAGTGAAGTTTGGGGGTGGGGGAGGCAGGTAAAGGGGTGCAGGCTGGCTCCTAGAGAGTGGTGGCTGACTTCAGGCCACGCTCCTGGAAGTACCGGTGGGGGAGGTGGGGATGGGTTCGGGGACCCTCACCGAAGTAGGATGTGATGCTCCCCAGTCCCTCCTGATCCCCTGTGGGTGAGTCCTCCCTGTGGGACAGAGGTGGTAACATTGACCACTTCCAGGGGAGTGGCCCTTCCAGGCAGGGCTGAGCCTGGCCTCCCTCCCTCTGTCCCCACAGCACCTCCAGGACACCCACCACATCACATCCTCCGCCTCCTTCTCCAGGATGTTCTGGGCTGTGCGCCAGCTGAACCGGACAAACTGGGGGAAGCCGAACACGGGCTCCACGTGCTTCCTCAACCACGCTTTCGTCTTGGGATCTGGGCGGAGGGCAGGATGGGCAATGGGGCATCCCTGAGTCCTGCTGTAATGTCCCAGCTCCTCAGCCTGGCACCTGAGGCCTCCCTGACCTCACAACAGGCCTCCTCCAGAGTACCTGGGGCACTACCCACTGTGAGACATCTTCCAGCCTCAGGACCATTGCACAGGCAGCTCTCCAGGCTCTTCACCAGGTCAACAGCTGCTCAAGGTACAGTGCAGGGAGGCTGCCGCTGAGACACCTTCCTCATCCCCTCCAAGGACAACAGCCATTAGGCCAGTATCTGTGGGCCACTGGGCTAACACCCATCACCCCGACAGAGCCGTAAGCTCAGTGGGGACAGGGAGCTCCTCATTTGTCTTGTTGACGGCTAAGATCCCAGGGCTCAGCCCTGCATGGCACATTCCAAGCACTCGGAAGCACCAAATGCTGCCTAGAGACATGTGGCCCAGACCTGGTTTCCTCACTTGGGCCTCACCTAAGTTGCAGTCAGACTTGCTGTGATACCTCCCTACTGACAGTCCCTCCCTGGGTCTCAGAAGGGCCAGAAGTTTCCTTGAACCCAGCCAATGAATCTTCAGTCTACTGGGGTCAAGGCAAGGGGCACATGATCACCTCTACCTCAACAAGGAGACTGAATTTCATAATGGGGAGAAAACAATGGATTTAAGCTGAGCCCATTGGACATGAGCTGACACCCCTCACCTCTGCCCCCTCCCCTCATAACAAATGGACAGACATCCATGTGGGGCTCAGTCTCTCACTGGAGCTCCAGAGAGCCAGCAGAGGGAGCCTGCCGGCTGGAATCCAACTCTGCCACTCACTGGCTGTAAGGAAGGGGCCCCTGTGCAGGCCTTGGCCTTTTCTGCTGTAGAGTGGGGTGAGCAGAACTTAGAAAACCTCAGAAGCATGCTTAGGCCTGACTTGTGAAGTGTCATTGCCACTGTGGCTATTACAGGGCAGCTCCAGAGGCAGCCCCGACTGCTGTCAGCTCACCACTGGGGTAGCCTGAGCCATAATCGGCATCCAGGTCTGGCAGTTTTTCCACAAATTTCCAGTTCTTCACAGCCTGGTCACGGGCCACCTGCGAGCAAGACAGGTACTTGAGATCGTTTTCCCCTGAAGCATCTCCCCTGCCCAGGGGGATGCTGGGAGCTGACCAAGGCCAGTGGGAGCCTAACCTTGGCACAGATACTGGCGGCACTGACCACAGGGTAGAGAGCATCTGCCTTGGCTTTGACTGTCACCTCAATACCGGGAAAGCACTGCTGCAGCCGCTTCTGGTATGTCTCTGGCAGCCCTACAGTGTCTACAAACACCTGCCATGATGACAGAAATGTATTCATTCAACAAACATCAGAAAAACAACTGCATACTTGCTGTCCCTGCTACCCGGAACACTCTTCTCTGAGCTTGTCCCCAGGCAGCATCTTTTCTCCGCAGTCTCAGCTCGATCATCACCTCCCAAAGAGGCTTTTTCTGATCAAGCTGCAGTCTTCATTTACCGAGCACCTACTGTATGCCATGGCTGCACCAGATGCTAGGCACATGGCAGTGAACACACCAAAAATCTGTCTTCATGCAGCACCCACCCTGGTGATGGCCACAGACAAAGAACGGGGCAAATAATAAAGGATACAGTAGTGAAAGGTGGTAGGGGAGGTTCAGGGAAGGTCACTCAGGAGTGGTGACATCTGATTAAAGGCCAGAAGATGAAAGAGCCATGTGATCTTGGAGTGTTCTAGGCAGAGGGAGCAGCCAATGCAAAGGCCCTGAAGTTGGACCATGTCGAGTATGCTGGACAGCAGTAAGAAGGTCCCATGGATGGAGCAGAGACAAGGTCAGGGAAGTAATGGATAAAATAGTCTCTATAGCAGTTACTGTCCTCAGAAGTCATCTTCATTATTTGTTATCAGTTGACCATCAGTCTCCCCTGATGTGTCCATGAACCCCTGAAGGTAGGGCCCTTGTCTGTCTGCTCCAGCACTGCAGTCAGCTCCACATTCCAGTCCTGGACACCAGTCACCTCCTGAGCAATGTCTTCCTTGTTACATTCCCTGTCTCAAGTGTATTCGCTCTTGTATTCCCTCAGAACAGCCTGTTCTTTGTCTGAGTACTTGATGTAATGCCTACTTATATTTCATTCTGGTAACTGAATTTCGTTCTTCTCTACTTGATTGTAAATTACCTGGATTTAACTTCTACTATGACCACAAAACTTAATGTTGAGATTTACATTTCAAAACCTGCTGAGTGGGGAGCAGGTTGTAGGGTAGGGGGCTGCAGATGAGGGGACCAGAGAGGAGGATGGGGCAGGGTACATGCCCTGGGCTAGGACAGAAGCTGGAAGTTGTTCTGATCCTGAGCCTTTAGAATACAGAAATAGATTAAGTGGGGTTGGGGCTGGGTCTCCACCATGGTCTTGGGTGAGGCACACATTTAAGGTAGGAAAAGCTGTAGGAAGTGAGCAACACCAACGAATATTCCGGAGGTACTCCAGATATGTCTGACGCTGAATCACCCACTGTACTTCTAGACCTGCATTTTATCCCAAGGTGATCAAATGAGGGCAACCCAACAGTTAGCTCACCTGGGTGACATTCACACCCTGGTCCAAGGCATACTGCACCAGCCCAGTGGCTGTATCATGGGACAAGGAGTTCAGGTTGTATTTGACCCTGTGGTGGGGGACAGAACCTAGTCAACCCCATTCCAGCCACCGAGGCCTTCCAGACCATGATGGCTGCCCCTCCACCCTGACCCCTCCTGAGTACCCCTCACCTCCCAAGCATGCTGGTAGAGATGAGGTCTGGAGACAGCACGTCCAGTGCCCAGCCCACAAAGTCCCCATCCGCCTCCATTTTCGCAAAAAGCTTGTTCCGCTCGTTTTCCGACAGGGTCTTTGAGTCTGGGAGGAGGGTTGGGAGAGGAGAGTAGCTAGTTCTCCCGGGTCCTGCTTGCCCCCTCCAGTTTGCACCCGCCCCTGCACATGCCAAGGAAGCCCCTCCCCATATACACACCTCGGGCTCACCTGCTACTTTTAGGGCCTCCAGATCTGTCAGGCGGGACAAGGGACAATAACAGATGGCGTAGACCATGGGGCCTGGGGAAGTGGAGGTCCAACCAGTGAACCCGGGAAAGCCACCATCCTTGTTCCATTACCCCGCTTTTTTTCGATGCAGTCACCATGTCATGGCCATCATCACTCTCACGCCCTTCCCTGGGTCGGGAGAAATCCCGGCTCCCGTTCCAGCGCAATTCTCACCCCCCTTATCATGCCCCCTCCTCTACCCTGGCCCTGAGGGCGCACCCAGCACTGGGCCCCGGCCCGCTTCATCGACGCCTAGGATGCAAGGCTCCTTGCGGCACACCGCGGGCACAGGCGAGTTCAGGCGACAACGGCCTGTATTGTCTCTCTCCAGGTCGCTGATATCCATGCCGCCTAGGCCGCCGCCACGAGCCGCAGTAATTAACTCCTCAGGCGCAGGTCTCGGCTCGCGTTTTCCGCGGGCCCCGGAGTGACTCCCGCTCCCGACCAATCGGAGCACAGAGCACGCCCCCCGACGACGTTGGCGCTTGCGCAGCCGACGCCGATGCCGCAGTCGTGCAGCTCCCTGGGAATTGTAGTTCTCGAGGACGCCCGCCGAGTTGCTAGTTTGAGGCACTGGGTGGACGGGGTAGTATTCCGAGCTCCGCCTGGGGCTGCCTGGAGCCCAATCCGCAGGAACTGGTGGGAGGAGACGGAAATGAAGGTGAAGCTGAGGCAGGCGTTGGAGCACCCGTCCCAGTCAGGGCCTAGAAAGTCAAATACCCTATATTCCCAGAATAAGTGTCTCCACATCACTAGGCCCCTGTCACCCTTCTAGAACCCCTTTGGACTCGAGATCCCTGCCACTCCACCAAGCCCAAGCCTCTTGGACTAGGTATCCCCGCTTCCAGTGGGCTCAGGCCTGTGGACGTGGGGTCCCCCAACTCCCATTCTCTCTGGGTACCTCACCGGGACTCCCGCCTCCCGCCCACCCCCACTCTGCTTTCTTCCCTCGTTGAGGTCACACACACCGGGGTCCTAGATCTCAACAGACTCCTGCCGAGTCTCCGTCCATCACGTTGGCTTTCTCCCCAGCTAATGGTTCACGTCCCCACCGCCACCGTCTTCCTCTCCCCGCCCCTACCCCGCACGATATTAGTGAGGCTCATGCCTCTCATGTTTGCTCGCTACTCCTTCCATTCTCTAGTGTCTGCACGGCCCACCGTCCTCGGCCTGAGGGTCTCTGCCCCTCACCAGGCTCATGCCCCTTACTCAGGGTAACAGTTCCCCCTCCCCGCCCCTCACTATCTTTCTCCCTTTCTCCCCGGATATCAGGGGGCTTCCATCTCCCGAGTCAGCTCCCTGTTGGCTCACCACCCTCAAGTCCCAGACTGGGGGCCCCAGTTCCCCCTTCCCCTGCCAGCATTGTACCCGCCCCTCCACCGCCCTTCCTCTCTCCGCGCCCACCCTGGGGACTCGCAACCTTGGACTAGCACGCCCGCCTCCTCCCAGCTTTCCCTGCGTCCATCTCTCACCCGGGCTCAGGGCGTCTAGTCGCAGTCGATTGGCTTGCAGGACGAACAATCCTGTTGTGTGCAGGGCCGCACCTGCACCTGATTCTGGCGGTCCATGAACATGGGGTCTGGCGATGAACCCAGCAGCTGGCGACTGCGCAGCTGCTTGCCTGCCTCGCAAATGCAGCGCCACTTTCCCCACGGGGCAAGGATCGAGTCTTCCAAGTCTAGGGATGGAACCAGGTAGAGGAAAGTCTACTCTCCATTCCCTCCTCTAGGGAGGGAGGAAGATAAAGACACTAACAAATAACAGTAACTCACGTTTGCTGGGTTCTGCCTCTGTGCCAGACACCACACTGCAGATTACCTAATTTTATCTTGCCAGTATTCCCAGGTGAGAAAACTGAGAGACCTAGAGAGATGGAACTACTCTTCCAAGCTCACACACCTAATGAGTGGCCCAGAGGGACTACAGACATTCCCCACCTGTGCCAGCCTGTCCAGTTGGGAGTGTAATACAGCCACCTTGGCGCCTGCCATCGGAGGCAGATTCCTGTCTTCAAGGGATGAGCTATCATATAGTACAAAACAATTATTAAGACCACTTAAAGCAGCAATAACTTACTGGGTGTGGATCGGATGCCCTTTACAATGTTCTTACACTGACTTCTCCCCACGCCCCTAAGAAGCAGCTATTATCCCAACTGTGCAGGTCACATATTCCTGACAACTCATGCCCTCACCAAGCGCCCGCCAGGCAACACCGTCCTCTTTCCATTTGTCCATCAGGCCTTTTGTCCTTGCACCTGCTGCTCCCACTCCGTGGCACGCTCTTCCCCCTAAATCTCTGCATTTTTGGCTTTTGCTAGATTCCGGCTGCATTGGTTTCCTGTCTTCATCAGTTTGCCTTCTCTGACTTCAAAAGTTTATCTGGCCCCTCTAGGTATCTCCATCCTTCCTAGCACTTAACCATGAGTTTATGGATGTTTCTGTTTTGGTATTTATTGCCTGCCCACATTCCCTCTCCCCGTTAGATGCTTGAAGGCAGTCTCTATTTCGATTTAACAGATGAGAAAACAGCCTCAGAGAAAAGTAACCAGCCCAAGGGGAAGCCTCCGGTGCGCAGCTGGCAGACATCCAAAGCACCTGAGGAAGGGCCTTTGCAGCCAGCTGGCTAATTGGGGCAATGGGGCACCTTTCCGCACCGTCATACCCGCGGCCTGCGGATACCTTTCTGGTAATTCTGCAGCCGCTGCCGCTCCCAAGTGTCGCCTTCGCCCTGTTCGCCGAAGTAATGGTAGTCGGGGGAGATCTGGGCAGAGGTCGCCAGCAACAGGAGCGTTAGAGGCGGCAGCGGCAGCGCCACCAGGCTCCGAGCCATACCAGAATCTAACCGACCGTGGGGCACTCGGGGAAGGAGCTCCGCGCGGCGACTACGGAGAGGCAGCGGCTGCTGCTCTCTCCCCGCCACCCTCAGGCTCGTGGACCGGGCCGGCTCCGCACCCCCTCCCCTGGGGCTGCAGTGGACCCGACCGCTCCACTCTTCAGCGCCCCCCCCCGCGCTCTGCACATCATGGTTTGGGCCGCACATAAAGGGCTCCGCTGCTCCGGGCGCCCTGGGAGCTGAGAACGCGTGTCCGCGCCTCCGCTAGTCCGTGCGTCCCGCCCTTGCCCACACAGGTATGGGCACCTGGAGTGTGCCGGGCCGGGGGAACCCCCTTGGAGCAGCTCTGGCTCTATCCTGACCTCAGCGCTGGCCGCCTTTGTCCTTGCGGGGGAAACCGAGGCCAGAGCCTCGGAAAACAGGCCGCTTCCCGGGCTCCCAGCTCCCTGGCCGCGAGGGGTGTCCTCCCGAGGCGGTGGGCTTGGCGCCACGGTTCTCGGGATGACAAGCCGATAGGGGTGCCCGGCGGCAGCGGCCCGGAGGCTCGTGCAGACCAGGGGGCGGGTCTCCCGCAGTCTCTAGGCCGCGCCGACCCGGTACCGGAGGGTGCGAGGCACTGCTGCTGTCTCCGCCGCTCTGACTCCGCAATCCCGCCTGGCTCGCAGCGTGACCTTGGGAAGGGAGGACAAAGGATCTCTCTAGATGCACTGACCGCGGCGGGGTTGGGTGGGGGGGTGGTCTCAGCTTTCAGGCATGGCCTCCGGCCACGCGTATGTCGGAAAGCCCGCCCCGAACTTCCAGGCCACGGCGGTAGTGGATGGCTCCTTCAAGGAGGTGAAGCTTTCCGACTACAGAGGTGAGGGCGGCCTGCAGAGGGCCCAGGTGGGGGCGGGGCCCGGGCATTGGAGGTCTAACTCCTCACCAATTCCTGTTCCTTCTACCAGGGAAATACGTGGTCCTCTTTTTCTACCCGCTGGACTTCACCTTTGTGTGCCCCACGGAGATTATCGCGTTCAGTGAGCATGCTGAGGACTTCCGAAAGCTGGGCTGCGAGGTGCTGGGGGTCTCTGTCGACTCTCAGTTCACCCACCTGGCTTGGTAAGAGCAGGGACTGGCAGAGAGGGAGGGTGCAGCTAAGCCTACGCCCTCTAAAGGGCCTGGCAACTGTGTGTACTGGAGGCCGTTGCTCAACCGTTGCACCTCCTTTTCCCCATCTTGAAAATAATGGAAATAATGACACTTAAGTTCTTACCAATGATGGCAGTAATTAACATTTGGAAATGAATAACTTGATGCAGAGAGTTGCAGATGGTTTATTACACTGAGGGCAACATGGCCTCCCTTCCAAGAACTATTTTAAGAAGGTGGAAACTCCGGTTCAAGACAGTGAAGGGCTGGGCCCCAGCAGAGCTAAATTGAGGATGGAGACGCTAAGTCAAGCTTTCTGCCTCAGAATGCTAGAGGCCACCAGAACATGTGAAGTCACTTTGTTGGAATGTTAGCTTAGGCTTCCCAGTGGTGGGAAACAGCCCCTGCACCCACTTTGGGGTGGGGTGGGTGGGGCTCCCAGGGCCTTGCTCTAAAGCCCCATATCTCCCACACCCAGCACACCCTTTCAGCCTTTATCACACCCAGCCCATAGGGTGAGGACCCTGCTGTGCCAGTCATCCTGAGGTCCCAGACCTCTCTCTCCCACCCCCAGGATCAACACTCCCCGGAAGGAGGGAGGCTTGGGCCCCCTGGACATCCCCCTGCTGGCTGATGTGACTAAAAGCTTATCCCACGATTATGGTGTGCTGAAGGAAGATGAGGGCATTGCCTACAGGTACTGTGGGACCCTCAGGGAGCCCCCGTCCTCAGGGTGAGGGGACCATTCTAGGGCAGTGCCCTCCCTGCCCCCAGCCTTGTGGCTGGCAGGCAGTCAGTGCTCCCTCCCCTGGCCCTGGGAGCTCCCAGCTCTTCACTGTAAACCGTGCTATCTTCAGGGGCCTCTTTATCATCGACGGCAAGGGTGTCCTTCGCCAGATCACCATCAATGATTTGCCTGTGGGACGCTCTGTGGATGAAGCTCTGCGGCTGGTCCAGGCTTTCCAGTACACAGATGAGCACGGGGAAGGTGAGCAGATACACACATTCACGTATTCACATGGGAGCATGTATGCAGCAGCCCCTTTGTCTTTCATGCAGACATTTGCTGTTTGCTGTATTACCTGTGTGGGGTGGATGTGAGGGCCTCAAGAAAGATTTAGTTCAGAACCTTGTCTGCAGGAAGCTGCTAGTCTGGTGGGGGAGTTAACCCCAGTAAAAGGGGGAAAGAGCTATAGATTTTTGAGAAGGCATGTACTGAGGCAGGCTTGATCAAATTAGTTGGGTTGGAGGACACAACCTGACCACAAGCCCTCAAAGTCCAGTGGGTTGGGGCTGAGGGAGAAAGATGGGATCAAAGTGGCCAAAAATAAAAATGTCAGCCAGAAAATCCTGCAGCTGGACTTGGAGGGCCTCTCTCCACATGCACTGTGTTTGGGCCTGGACCACTTGGCTATAGGCTTATTCTTCTGCAACTCGGGCTCTCACTTTGCCTCTGCTGGTCCCCTCACTACTGTTCTACCTTAAACATGGGGCTCCAGCCTCACATGTGCATCCCTGTGTCTTTCCACAGTCTGTCCCGCTGGCTGGAAGCCAGGCAGTGATACAATCAAGCCCAATGTGGACGACAGCAAGGAATACTTCTCCAAACACAACTAGGCTGGCAGATGGGCGGCAAGCTTGGGCTCTTGGTCCCCACCTGTCCCTGCCTGGGTGTCCTGTGCTGACCCAGGAAAGGCCAGACCTCCCCCTTCAAACTCCTTAGTCTATTACCCTACTGGGCTAGGCCTTAAACCTTCTCAAGCTCCCAGGTGGGAGCTGGTGAATGGTGACCCCCTCCCTGGAACTCAGCTAGCCCGGCATAGGCCTAGAGGTGATCATCAATAAAGTATTAGGGACAGATATAAATCTGCTGGTGTGCTGTCCTGGTGCGGTCGTCACCCTCCCCACCCAACCCCACCTCCTCCTGGCTGGTATACTGACACTGTAGTTACTTATCTTAACCACAGGATGGCAGCCTTGCCTCATGCTCTGCTTTCTTTCCACCTGTCTCCTGGGCCTGAACGCGGCTTCTAAAAAGGGGCGGGGGTGGGGAGGGTGCGATGGAGGAGAGCTGTTAGACCCCTGCAGGTATCAACTCCCAGGATGCCCTGCGTCCTAAAACATGACCGTGCAGTGCTTAGCCCACATCTTGCCCTCAGTCACACTGGGCTGAAATGCCATTTAAGAGCTGTGATCTTTTCTGGGTTTCTTCACCAGTAAAACAGGAATAAAGAAAACCAACCCACAGCACCACCACATTAAAAGATAATTTACAATTTACGTGAAGCTCAGGGTCCCAGTTAATGGTTATTAGGACTGGTCCCTGGGGCTGGAAGAAGAGGGTGGGGACCTAGTCCTGAGAACAGAACAAAAAGCTGGAGTCTGAGCTACAGGCAGTCCCTGCTGCACACTCTGCCCCACTCTACCTTGGGAGACCTGCCTGTCTGCCCGTGGGGTGGAAGGGTGAGGGTTAGGTTGGGGGGCAGGTGTTAGAAGCAAGACAGTGTTAGGAGTGTAGTTTGATGCTGTGCATGTTCAGGCAAGTGGCTTTGCCACTCTGAGCCCCCATTCCACAAAACAGGACCGACATGCTTCCTTAATCCACATACCCATTAATAATGCTATCCACCGATATGCCCTCCAAATTCACTTATCTTGGCCTTGGAATTTTATCTACACTCTTCAAGGCCCTGTGCTTGTTGTCCCTGACCTCATCTCCCCACTTCTACTTCACCCCATACCAGGCCCACTAGTTTCTTGCTGTTCTTTAATAGGCAAATCTTGTTCTGACTACAGGAACTTTGCATGTGCTGTTCCTTCTGCCAGGAACTCTGTTACCAAGGATTTTCTCAGGGCCCTGTTGCCAATCTGCTGAGAAATCATCTCATTAAAGGCCCTCGTTCCCAATCCATTTTACAAAGCAGTTCACCTCCCTGCCCTATCGCTACCACTTTGACCTGTTTTTCCTCTTCCTCGCACTTACCACCATCTCTGAATGTTTGTTTATTGTCTGTCTGCCGCGGTCCAGGCTATGTCTTCAGGGCTAAGTTGTTCAGCATTGCACAAATGAATTAATAAGGTGTTTGCTCTGCCCACCCCTCCCCTGTGGCCTGGTTTCTCTGCTGTGTTTTTCTCTGCTGTTCTGGGGGCTTCCAGTTCCGAAGCAAGCCAGACCCCCTTGGGGCTCACCATCCGCCTTGCCAACAGCCAGCTGCAGGAGAGGGAGCCCCACGCGAGGGCGCCCGGCGGCCCAAGCAGCCGCCCCGGCAGGACCAGACCTGGCAGTCTCCCTGCTCCCGGCCTGGCACCGGGGAGGGAAAACTGGCAGGCGGGCGCCGCCCTTCCTGGCGGGGGTGTGGGGAACCGCGGTGGCTACGACGCGCCAGCAGCAGCTACCCCCTGCCCGGATCAGGTCAGACAGAGAGGGCGTGGGGCACAGCAGGGCTGGGGCGCCAGCCCGTTGGGGGAGACTCTGGGGTGGCTCCCGGGGCCCAGAAGCGCGGCCCGCCCACCGCACACGCTCTGGACCCAGGCCTGGGGCTTTCCGGGCCTGCGCGCGCAGCCGCCTGCCTGGGAAAATCCCGGCCCTCTTCCCGGCGCCACGGCCCTGCCCGGCAGAGCGGGGGAGGGGATTCCCGGAATCTGCCCGGAGACCGCTGGCGCGTCACTAGGCACTACGAGCCCAGATATGGGCAGTGCTTCCGTTGCGTAAGCGGGGAAAGCCCCGGCGCGCGCGGCTGGGCGGGGCTACGCCTGCGCACTGTGCGCTTCTCTCCGAAGCGGCGCCATGGCCCCTGGTGGTAGGCGGCTGGACTGCATCCCGACACTATCTTCTCAGCCCGGAGATCAGGGGACACCAGAAGGGCTGGACGCCCGGACCGGGCCTCAAGATAGCTGGGCAGAGCTGGCGAGGGGTCCACAGATACAGGATGGAACCACAACAGCAGTGGGTGGGGGTGGCATAGTACTCTCCTCCCTCCGCCCGCCCGGCAGGAAAAAAAAGACAACAAATTAATAAAGAACCTTTTTTTTTTTTACTTAAATAGATTCAATAAAAAGTCAGAACCACAAACGCACACACATACACACAAAAACACATCTTAAAATACACTCTTTAGAGACCAAGTGCGTGTTTCCTCTCAGTACGGTGCAGAGTGGGGAGGGCAGGGGGCGGGGGTCCCTTCCCCAGTGTCCCCGCGGGCTTGAGTACCGGGCGGCGGGGCCAGCTCCGCCGCTATCGCCCCCTCCTCCCCTCCCTGTTAAATACACAAATATATTATATTCAATATGAATCGAGTCCTGTTTCCAGCAGAAAAAAAAAAATACAAAAAGACGTGGAAGGGGGGCTTGTAAACGTCGAGGTGGAAGGACTGGGCGCAGAGTGGGCGGGCAGGGCTCCAGTGTGGTTTGCGGCACCCCCAGGCCCCGGGGCCGGTGCCCACGGCCTGACCCCTCGCCCCGTGGGAGGCGTGCGCCCAGCCGTCCAGGCTGGGGGAATGTCCGTACGGGGGGTGGTGGTGCTCAGAAGGCGTGTCCCTTGACCCCAAGCAGCAGCTGGCAGCCATTGCTGACGTGGGTCATGACCTTCTGTTTTAGCTGGGCCACCTGCTCCCGGAGGAGCCCGGCAGTGCTCGACAGCCCCGCGTTCTCAGCCTTGAGTGTCTTCACCTTGTCCTCCAGGCGCGCGATGCGTTCCAGCTTCCGCTTCCGGCACTTGGTGGCAGCCAGCCGGTTCCGCAGCCGCTTGCGCTCCACTTTGATGCGCTCCTGGTCTTCCATATTGATGGGGGACACCGGTGGGGTGGCGTCGCGGCTGCGCGCCTCAGGCACTGTCTGCGGTTCCTCTTTGAAGGTGGAGGCGCCGCGGCCCAGGCCCAGTTGCGCAGGGTGGCCGCCGGCAAAGGGAGGCGCGTGTGGGAGGTAGCTGATGGTGGCCGTCGGGTACGAGCTCCCGGTCCCGACGGCGGCCCCAGCGCCTCCGGAGGGCGCCGAAGCTGGGGAATAGCTGCTGAGGTTGGTGTACACGGGAGGCGGCTCCGGGCCGGCGTAGACGCCCCCGGGCCCGGCCGGGGGCCCCGCGCTGGTGCCCAGGGACACGTTGGGGGGCGTCACGTGGTTCATCTTGTGCAGGTCGTCCAGGGCTTTGACAAAGCCGTCGGCGAAGCCCTCCTGTTCCTCGGTGACGCCGCCTCCTGAGCCCCCCGCACCTCCGCCGTTGCCACCCCCGCGGGGGTAAAAGTACTGTCCCGGAGGCGTGGGCGTCGTCGTGATCACTCCGTTGCTGTTGGGGACGATCAGGCGCTCCAATTCGGATGAGGCGAGCTTGAGCGACGCGCCTGTGTCCGAGCTCTGGCCAGAAAAGTAGCTGCCGCCACTGCTGCCCTCTGGTCCGGGGCCCCGCGCTCCAGGTGCTTTGAGACTTCTGTAGGGGTCCGCCAGGTTGAGTGCCAGGCTGGGTTTCAGGAGTTTGTAGTCGTGTAGAGAGAGGCCGCCCGGGGCCCGGCCGTATCCCGCAGCTGCGTATGAGTCGTCGTGGTAGAAGGGCTGTTCCATTTTAGTGCACATCCGGGCGGCCCGGGCGGTCTGGGGGGGTCCCTGCGGGGCCGCCCCGGGCCTCGCTGCAGTGACCCGCGCGCTGTCCGCGGTGGTGGCCGGACTGGGTGTCTGGACAAGCGTTCTCGGGGGCCGGCGCCGGCTGGGAGAAGCCAGCCGGTGGCTGTACGAGGAAGCTCTGTGCGGCTTCTCGCGTCCCTCTGCCCCTCTCTGGAGTGCTTGATTTCCTGGCGTCGCTTCACCCTGCTCCCCGCTCCCAGCGGGATCCGGTGCTGGCCTGGCCGCGCTCAAGGTCTCGGCCGCTCAGCCGGAGCCACACGCTTTATACGGCGATTGTCAGCTACGGAAGTGCGCTCCGATTGGCCGTCGCCCGAGCCGGGCCCCCGCTCCCCCCTCCTCGAGCGTGGGGAAGGGGAGGAGGCGGCTCGCGTCACTGTCAGGAAGCGCGTGTCCTTGTAAACAGCGGCCACGGGCTGGGTGGCTCGGCGCTGCTGCAGGGGGAGGGGCTCAGGGGACCCCGGGGTGAGCGAGGAAGTGGGTGCTGGAGCGGGCAAACGGGAGAGGCTCTGGGAGGTCTATGATTCCCCCTAGAGTGCGCTATGAGGGATACGAGGACCTGCTTCAGAGCAAATGTGTTTATTTGGGGAAGGGGGTAAGGGCGTCCTAAGGCGTACACGGAAAGGCAGGGTATCTGAAAAGTATTGGAGGAGTGAGAATACCCTGGGAGACGCCACAAAGAAGAGACGGGAGGTTTGAGCAGGGTAAATGGGTAAGGGGTAAGATGCCTGCTTCAGGAATTGAGTGGGGGTCCCGAGTACAGAGGGGTCGAAGGACTGGAATTTTCACAGGAGGGGCTGAACCCAGGAAAACTGAAGAGCGAGAGAAATCAAAAGCATACATGGAGCTGCTGGAGGACCCATCGTGCAAGAAACGAGTAGGGGTTCTGGAGCACACGGGAGGAACAGGCTCCCCCGTAAGTGCGAAGGGAAAGAGATTGGGGTATGCGGAAAGTGAGGGTCCTGGGGTACGCTGAGTCAGGGAAAATAAATGGGGTAGATGACACTGTCAGAAGTTGAGGGTCACTGGGGTCATCAGAGAAACCCATATAAAATACTTAGAAGGGTCGGGGGACACTTTCAGAGCTGCGATGACAGTGACAGACAGTCCCTAGTTGAGACACACGAGGCTGGGGCTTTGAGGATCCTGGGAACCTGGACTGCAGGATTTCTATGATTGATGCTCCCTCTCGTGGGTGACCACTAAGCACCGGCATACTCTGTCCCCATCCCAAAGCCCTCCCCCAGTGACCCTGG